TTGATTCTTAACATTTTACCTGGGATGACTCTAAAAGCCCACAAATTAAAACAATCCTCCCTTAATAGCAATCCCTCCTCTTCAGAGAACAATGCACAGCAAACATCTTTCTTTTCAAGGAATTCCATACAGAACAAAGCCATCATCCTTATTCTATGTAATTCTTGGTTGCAGCATATATAGATTTGCAAAGGGAGAGGAGGTGGCCAGAGATTCTACTTGGAAAAGGACTAACAACACAACTTCCCGAGATCTAACTTTAAGGAAATACTCCTTAACATTTGGTGGAAATTTTGGTAGGAAATATTAAAGGTAATTCATTATCAAGCTTTGGGACATCTCAAATTCTTTAGTTACTGTAGGGTCTGTGCAATAGCTCTTTCTCACCTTTTCCAAACAAGAACAGCAGCAAGCAAAGAGAAACAAAGCAAACGATCACTAGTACACTCCAAACTTAATGTTTGGTATTATGTAAAAACTAGTCTAGCATTTTCACAAAAACAGTATTTACATAAAATAAACATTCAAATATTTCTGCTGGTGCTATGAAATTTGTTCAGAAATAAAGCAGAAACCAGTTGTAGTGGGAGGGGGGAGTGAAAGAAAGAGAGAAAGAGAGAGAGTGTGTGTGTGTGTGTGTGTGTGTGTGTGTGTAAGATCAGGAGAGACAGACTACTCTTGTAGGTAGATTTTATATTTGTGGCCAGTAAACAATGTAATGCTTATCTTCAGGAGGGAGAATTTCAAAGGATAGAAAAAGATCTAACATCTAGCACCATTATCAAAACAAACTTTAACTCAGAATCATTTGGATTTTTACCATAAAAAAATAAAAGTGGCAAAGTATCATCTTTGGTTAAGAGTTCAATTATAATGAAACCAATCCTACAGTTCTGAAGGTAATAGATTTTATGTTTAACTTTACTGCTAATATCTGAGAACCAAAATATATTTCACTTATGCAACCCTAAAATGTTACATAAAATCTATCAATAATTTTCATTTTTCTTTAAAATTTCAAAGTGAAGGTGTCAAAAATGTACTATAGAGGAAATGAATGGATGAAAATATTTTTGCAAAGCTTAGCATTATTACACATTTATAAACAAAACTTTAAGCATCCTAACCTTGTGTATTTCTCTATCAAAGCATAACCATGTCCAAATCCAACCAGCTGACAAAAAATGAAAATAAAGGGGCAGGAGACGGCTCAGTAGAATAAGCGCTTTCCTGGCAAGAGCAAGGACCTGAGTTCAATCCCTAATTCCACAAAAAAAAAAAAAAAAAAGAAAGAAAAAAGAAAAAGAAAAGAAAGAAAGGAAAGAAAAACTCAAGGGAAAAAAATCATGTTAAAAGGGCTTGGGTACTAACCTTATAACCCATTTTTACTTTTTTAAAAACGTATTTGGTACCATGTCTCACTACACAGCTTAGAATCATAGTGAACCTCCTGCTGTCAGCCTCCCTAGTGCTAGGATCATAGACGTGTGCCACCACACACGGTCTCAGTGGCTGGCTCAGCATGCTGAGTGGTGGGGCTGGCGTGACCTGTGGTGCCAGGGATCAAACCTGGGATTACAGGAGTGAGTCCCTGCACTCCTGTAATCCCAGTGCTAGGGAGGCTGAAAACAAGAGAATCACTATGCGTTCAAGCTGCATAATGAGACCCTGTGCCAAATACATTTAAAAAAAAAATTCCTCAGTTTTATATAAGTTTTTAGAAGAGACTGAATACTATGTTTTTAAAGCAAGTGCTGTTTTCTAAAAGTATATCAACCTAGGAAGATGAAAAATATCTAGAGTGATGTTCACCAAATGATAATGATGTTATTTCTGGGTGATAGAATGAATATATCGTAACACTTTTTTGAAAATCCTTCTGTGTAGCTGTCTGTACTGCAGAGTTTTAAAAATGAATATGTATCATTTCATGGAAAAGTTTTTTAATAAAGAAAAATCACATTTAGATGCAAATGTGTTTGTTATGCACAATATGCATTTATATTTTAAAGAATATTCATAATTTATAACCTTCAAAAATCCTTGACAAAAACTTACAGGAGAAATGTAACCATCTCATAGGAACAAAAAAATCAAGATTTGTCATTTTCATTGTAACATGTACAGCTAACTACATATGATAAATTAACTTTGTTCTTCATTTCAGAGACCCAGGCTATGGAAAGATGCCAGGTGGTATGATGTCAGAGGCCTGGCCCCTTGAGGGTCAGGTACAGAGGACTGACACCACATCCTAATATGACTTTACTTCTTAAAGCCACTGCAGAATTTAACTGTCAATCACATTTCACACTGCAGTTTCTGTGTGCTGCTGTCACATCCACCTACACCAGGTACTTTTCTATCCTTTCAGTTTTATTTTCTTTCTTTGTGCATCTGGGATCTGTCACAGCAGTGGTTCCAATCTTGCCAGCACACTAGAGTCATCAAGGGAGCTTTAAACCATACTGATGACTGGGTCCCTGCCCCAGAGACTTTCATTTAATTGATCTGGGTGCATTCTGAACAATGAGATTTTTCAAAGTTCCCCAGGTGATTCTAATGTGTAGCCAATGCTGAGAACTACTGTATCAGAGTCGTCTTTAACCTTTTCTCAGCTGTCTCTGTTTCCCTGGTGGGCTCTGCTCCAGTTCTTCATGCTCACTTTCATCCACAGGGACGAGAAAGAAGATAAATGACCACATACCTATAGTAGCAGTACATGGAATACACAAACTCTCAGTCCAAAGACACCAGGGACATCTAGTATTCATATACCTTACATTTTGTAGCACAGTTGAATCTAAGAACATAAAGTCTTTTGTGAGAAGAAAAAGGCTAGACACCCCTCATAATATCATCAGGAGTCTTACACTCTTGGGAACACTAAAAAGTGATTAAAATCCAGCTGAATTAAACTTGGGTGGCTGAGAGGGCAATGAAAATGGAATTAATCCCTACTTTCAGAACAGAACAGACTTTTAAATGCCTAGGTAGTCATTCTCCTACCTCTCGTTGCTGCTGGTTCAAATTATGAGAATTTCTCTGACAAAGAGCAATTGTCTCAACCATGGTATCTTCAACATCCTTCAGTGAGGGGACCTCTTTGGTATCTAGATTCACACAGTACAAGCATCATTAAAGATATGTTACTGATAATCTCAGAGTTTTTGTGAAAAATTAAACTTATCCTTTGTGTAGTCTTGGTTTTTGATAAAGACATGATATTGAGGCTTAGATTAGGAAATAGATCTATGTAAATACTTGTCATTAAAGATACACAGAAAGCACATCATACTTAGCATTTTAATATACTTTTAGCTACGAGACTCATGGGAGGGGTTAGCAGAGAGTAATCTTCACCCACCTTGTTCTATCATCTCTATCCATATTTCTTTTCCTTTTTAATTTTTTTTTTTAAATCTTTATTTATTTGGTACAAGGTCTCACTACGCAGCTCAGACTCATAATGATCCTCCTGTCTCAGCTTTCTCAGCGCTGGGATTACAGGCGTGCGCCACCAAACCCAGTTTTGGGGCCGGCAAGGCATGGCAAGCAGTACCAGGGATCCTTCTGGGTCCTTCTGCTTGCCAGGCATGCACTTAGGCCACTGCACCCTACCTGTATTTCTTAAACATAGTGATTTTCCCCAAGATACTGTCTTAGTCGCTTTTCAGTTTTCAATCATCTCAGTCATTTTTGCAGTTATTAAAATATACCTCAGCTTTTATTTTTTCACATTGTCCACGTTAAATTTTCAGATGAAGCTCAGACACAATCTCCATATGATGTCCTGCATGCACTCTGAACTTTATATACACACAAAACCCAATTTACATATTTAAAATCTGCTTGCCCTACATTTCCAATTTAAGATAATGGAATCGTCTGTAAGTCAAGCACTTTATACACGTATCTTCATCACCCTCAGCGCTGGCTTCTCTTAATTCCATATACACAAGTTAAATGCTCTCTTTGATTCTCCCTGCACACATGTGCCCACTACTCTTACCCTAGTGAGCTCTGTGCACATGCACGTGCCTCTGCAACAGTCTTTCCATTAATGTCACTTCACAGATACACAAGGGTTTTCTTGAGCACAAGTCCAAACCGATCACTCACTTTCACAAAAGTAATCAAAGATTACCAATTCTTAAACACAGAATGTAAGTAAGCCTCTGACTCTAAGTAACAGTCAAGATTTGGACGCATTTTCTGGTCTTCTGTGCTCTAGCACTGCCAGATTATTTCCTAAATTCTGAGGTTCCTACCTGGGCACTTCAATACTCATGTCCTCCTCAGCCTAGCAGATCCTGACCCTGCTTTGTCTAATAAACTCCTCTTCCTCCCACTAGATTTAAAAGTCATACCTCCTATAAAACTCTGATCCACTGATTGCCAACAAAGTCTTCCAGTTTTCAATGTTCCTTTGTCATTCTCACTCCAGATAAATGCTCCATTTAACTTGTTTAATCATTTTTATGTGTAAAAAATGTCTCCATATTTATAAGACTATACGTCATTAAGAAATGCACAGCTGCACTTTAGGCATCTGTGTATAGCCAAAAGAACTAAGCACAATGTCTTACAACTAGAAATGCTTCGACAGTCTTAAGGATAGTGTGGAAATCAAATCAGAAAGCAGACAGCTATCACTGGACTGATTAGAAGACTATTACTGAAAAATGTATTCTCATTGGAATTTTAAAAGGGGGCTTTTCAAGACATACCACCTATAAATCTTTGTAGCAACTGAGGAAAAACATTCTTCTCTATAACTCTTTCATGTAGTCTGCAAAATTATTCTCAGAACATTATATTTTATTGCTTTGCTTTCAAAGAATACAAAATAGTGATAGAAAACACTAGAAATGATACAATATTTCACTAAACAAAGTAACAGAATTCAACAATGGTTGCTGCATTACATGATGCTATCTTCAATTTTGTTTAGATTAGTAAGATACAAATGTGTAAGATTCATTTAAAGAAAAAAACAAAATAATAACAAAGAAGTTGTAAGAAATTCAAGAGGAAAAAAATCAGTAAAAACAATTTTTTAAGCATTATCTACTCCTTTCAAAAGACTAGTAGAAATCAACAATTATCCAAATTGTTCTGCACATTACCTAAATATATTTTTCCCTTCTTTCATTTGTCCTTTTCCTCATCCCGGCTTTTCCTTCCCATTGAACAATTTCTTTCCCTTTCACAGTATCTGTTGTACCTTTTAGGTTTTCATTACTCTTTCAGGTTCTCACACTAGCGAGATAATATAATGTTTACACGTGGATCTGATTTATTTCACTTACCAATATAGTCTCTAGCTGCATCCATTTATCTACAAAAGCCTCAAAATCTCTCTTTATAGCTGAATAATACTCCATTGTGCAAAAATACCACATCTTTTTTTTATCCATTCTTCAGTTGATGGGCATTTGAGTTGTTTCCAAGATTTAGCTATGATAAATTGTGCTGCCATAAACATGGTGCACATATATCGCTGTGGTATGATTTCAGTTTTTTTTTTGAAAAATACCTAGGAGGGGAATAACTGGCTTGAATGGGACCTCCAATCCTAGCTTTTTGAGGAATCTCCATACTGACTTCCATAATGGCTGAACCAGCCTGCCCTCCCATCAACAGTGGAGAAGGGTTCCTTTTGCCTCACAGCCTCTCCAGCATTTGTTTTTGGTTGACTTCTTGATGACAGTCATTCTTTCTGAGGATAAGAAGGTATCTCAGCATTGTCTTAATTTGCATCTCTTGAACGACCAATGATGCTGAATTTTTTCATATATTTATTTGTCATTTGTATCTCTTCTTTGTGAAGTGTATTGTCATCTCAAATGCCCATTTTTGGATTGGGTCTTTGGATTTTGGAGGCCTGATTTTTTAAAAATTCTTTACATGTTCTAGGTAAGAGTCCTTTGGAGTCCTTTGTCTGGTGGACAGTCTGCTATAAATGTCTTCTGTGGGTTTTCTTTTTACTCTGTTGGTGATTTCTTTTGACATGCAGAAACTTTTTAAAAAGATGAGGTCCCAATTGTTCCTTCTTTGAAGTATTTCCCTTGCAGTTTGTTTTTTAGAACATTACATTTAAAAAGTAAAATATCATAAAATACAATAAGCCTAATTAAACTGATTCAATATACACTGATGATTCAAAAGTAATAATTAGTTTTGAAACATTTAATTTTCTGAATATTGCTTAATCTTAATTTTTGTTCTAAGATTTATACTGTATCTTTGACTTACAATTTATTTAAAAGACACTGTATGATATCTTCTCCTAGTATTAGAAACTTTAAAAAGTATATTTCCATTTTCTGTTGACTAAAAAAAAAAAAAAAAAAAGAGGTTTGTACCTATGTTGTTTATTTATTATTTCTTGCCTATATCTTGTAATATGAGAAACTACCTTGGCAGTAACAATACACAATGTACTAACCATTGTTACTCTCCTAAAATCTCGTTTTGAGATTTTGTACCATTGTTTTTATTTTTTTTCTTTAAAATAAAATAATTGATGTCAAAAAAAAGTAATAATTAAATTTTTTTATGTATTTAGTACAGGGTCTATAGAGTCTCACTACACAGATCAGACTCGTAATCCTATTTTCAGCCTTCCAATCACTGGAATTATAGGGGCATACCTCCACACCCATCTCAATCACTGTCTCATTGTGCCCCAGGGGCAGGGCTGGCATGGCACACTGGGGAGCGAACCCTGGTCCCTGCACCTGTCTAAGCAGGTGCTTTAATCCCCTGAGCTATCTGGCTGGGCCTAAAATGTTTAGATTATCAATAAGGAAGTCAATCAAGTGTTTACCAAAATATCAGTATAATTCAAGGTGTTGAAGATATAACACAGATTCTATCTCAGACCTAGTCATAAAAAATATAAATTATCTAGAGAGAATTACGATTAAACTGTATTAAAGGAATGTGTGGACCAGGGGATAAAAGAATAATGTTGCATTAAAGAGGCAGGATAATCTAAAAACCACCTATCAAGAGATTTCCTAACTTTCAGGTGAGCTATTTTGAAAATGTCACAAAATATTAAAGCAAACTATCTAATTCAAAAATGTATAAAGGACTTGAATAGACATTTCTCAAAAAAAGATATACTAATGGCCAAAAAGAGAAAATGAAAAGATGTTCAACATTATAATTATTAGAGAAATGCAAATCAAAACTACAAATGAGAAATACTGTCTCACATCCAATAGAACTGCTATTGCTCCGCACACAGATCCCCTCCTCCAAGTCAGAAAAAAAAAATCGTTGGTGAGGATGTGGAGAACCTGTAACCCCTTTGCATTCTGTGGGAAGGTGAAATGATACAACTGCTATAGAAAAAGTATGTTTGTTCCTCAAAAAAATTAAAAAATTAAAAATTACTACTTGATGGGGCCGGGGAGATGGCTCAGTAGAATAAGCACTTGTCTGGCAAGTGCAAGGGCCTGAGTTCAATCCCCGGTTCCGCCCCCCCAAAAAAAATTACTACTTGATAGAGCAATTTTGCTGTATACCCAAAAGAAATGAGACCAGGGACTAAAAATGTTTTTTGTACAAACATGTTTATAACAGCATTAGTTACAATTAGTCAAAAGGAGAGAGCAGGCTAATTGTCTATCAAAGTATGAATGGAAAAAACACAGTATATGTGTGCAATGGAATATTATTGAGTCATAAGAAGAAAATGCTGATGTTTCACATTTATGAACCTGGAAGACATTATTCTAAGTGAAATAAGACAGTAACAAAAGAATGAATGATATATAATTTCTCAATGTGATGAAATGTAGAAAAACAAAGTGCAATGGTAGTCTAGGGACTAAGGCAGGGAAGAATAGGAAGTTGCTGCTCAGTGGGTAAAGATTTTCAGCTTGGGGAGATGAAAACCTGGGGGATAGATAGTGATAATATTTGTGTAATAATGTGAAACTATGTAATGTAACTAAACTGTATACTTAAAAGTGAATGTTATCTTACATATATTTGACTATTATTTTATTTTATTTTTTTTTGGCAGAACCGAAGATTGAACTAAGACCCTTGCACTTGCTAGGGAAGTGCTTATTCCACTAAGCCATCTCCCTGGCCCCTAAAAGCTGATTTTTTAAATGTCAACTACCATATTGAAAGTTTTATCTGTGTCAAAAGCACTCAAGATTCTACATTGTTTAACTGCTTTGAGCTAAAATTTAGAAACATTCGCTATTACTGATTAAAGTTTTGATTTTCTATTTACCATATTACATTAATTTTAGGATGTTAATTATGTATCTCATTTACACATAACCAAATCACAAGTACAGAAATCTATCCAAAAAGATAATCAAGAACAGTAAACAGTGTCTCATTTCCTGTACATTTAATCCACTGACAATTAGCATTACCAAGCCACAGCAGTTTAAATATGATTTTCTATTATGAACACCTGAAAACTAGCTAAAATTTACACCCAAGTTAAAGTAGATGAATGGTAATTATGCAGATGGACCAATGTAATTGTTACCTAATAAAGGAAGCTTACTGAACATTTCCAAGAACCTGGGGTATGTGGAAGAAAAAATTGTAAATTATATTCAAGAACTTACTCTCACCTTGACGTGTTATCTCTTGAAGTTTGCTTTGCAGTCTCTACATAAAAAGAATATAGGAGGTAACAACACCTTATATTTTTATTCACCACATATTTGAATTAACATTTTTTTAAGGCTAAAACCCCAAGAAATACCAAGATTTTTAAAGATGCTTCCTTAATGTCATTCAGAAGTAATTACTGTCTTCATAGCTAGCTGTATGGGAAGGGACCCAAAAGATCAAATGTCACTCGTTCTGCCCATGTTTGCTTCTGTTTTACCACCACACAGTCCTTCCTGGCAGCTTTCAGGCAAGGAAATGAGGCTTAGGATACATCCACGCTCTGGATAAGGGTATGAAATTTACTAGATTATGAGAATAAGAGGTAGGCTGGGTGGGTAGGAATGAAAAGAACTGACAAATGGGCACAGTTCTCGGTGTGCTTTCTCCCAAATATTTAGCTGTAGCATCCACTGCTCTACTGAATTCTAGATCTTTGGATGCCTTTAGGCTGATTCCAAAGGTTTCTTACTACACATATGAAGCTGATACTAATACATCCCCTCTACCTAAAATTTGCTCCTTTTTAAAGGTTCCTTTATAGACCAAAAACTAACAGAATTTTAAGCCAGAATCACCATTCACTACTCCTTCTTACTCATTTTATACCACAGTGAGATGGATCACAAATTCTAAAATATATCCCCTACCCACCATGGTACTCAGAATCGAATCCAAGGCCTTCATGCTGAGCTATATATCTCCACTTCTTTTTAAAACTTATTTTGAGACAGAAGCTCAAAAAGTTGCCCAGGAGAGAGCAGAACCTTTTATCCTCCTGTTTCAGCCTCCCACACCACTCACACCTGCACTACTGCAGAGGGCTTTCAGGTGCTCTCTGCTTTCACTGTTTCTTTTCCCTTCTCTGCATCTCACCCTCATACCCCTACCTAATCTCCCACAGTTAATAGACCTCTCTATGAGACAAGTAAGTCAGTTT